TTAAAGATTTATAATTAAATTTTTTAAGAAAAGTACGCACGAGGCTTTCTTCCATAGCTTTGATGGTTGCCTCTTCTGTTGCACCTCAACACCACTTGGCATACTTCAAGAAAAAAATAGTTAAGGGCATATAATTTGCGCTATTCTTGGCAGGGCTTCCTCAAGTCCTTTTGGCACAGAGGCACTGGCTAATTTATAATGTCCTTCCTCCTTGCGGGGTCTAGACACAAGCCATGCTTCCGAATGAAGCAAGCTATTATGGGGATTGTCGGCGCCAAAACACCCTTGCATATTTCGCCAAAACGCTTATTAAAGCGTATACACTCGAGCACTACTTTCAAGTTTTTGATGTGTTTGCCACGTCTGACTTTCCGTGATCTGTACGAACAGCTGTCAGACCAGGCGATTGAGTGTCTCTGTGACATAGTTATCCATTTTCAAATCATCTTTCGCGGATTACTCATCTCCTGAGGAGAGCATTGCTGCCTCTCATGAGCAGTTGATGGTATCCATCAACCAGGTTGAGAGCACTGAACAAAGTACAATCGACCAAGCTGTTCCGCAGCTCATCTGCTTTAGAAATAAGCAATTGAGCCGAAATCATGGCATGGTTGACCTTATTCTTAGCGTGCACAATTAGCCACTTGTTGTAATACTTTCTGACACAGCAAATTGGCACCGAGCGTGGAGATTCTTTTTTCTCTTTTGACGCATTTCACGAGATGCAGCATTTCGAATCTGTGGTGGGTCTCTTGTCACCACCCGTCGTATTATTTCTCCAACAGAGGATAAAGCTTTCGTTGGATCCTTTACAATAGCGATCCTACTTCTTGTTCACTGTGCTTTGCGGAGCCAGATTTGTCTATGGCTGATAATTAATTTAGCTCTTCTTATGGTGCCAACCGTGTCAATTTGGGGACTTCACCATCGTGCAACTCATTGGACCCTCTAGAAATATTGTTCCAGCTCAATGAAATCATCTGCTGTAGGAAGCGAGGGGAATTAATATAATATGCAATCGCTAAGACTGCCCTGATCACCGCGGTCACGGTTGGGAAATCCGTACTCTCAAGTAATTAAGCTACGTTTATGCTCTGCGTGATGAGAACATCACTGATTTCGCCAAAACTATACAATCAGGACAAGATTGAGTCATTACTCTTATCTTCAGATCCTGTCTCTCCTACTGGGGACTGACAGTTAGCTTGAACTTCTTCTATGATACTGCGACACCAGTTGCTTCAAGGCATAATCGGTCCTTCAACTAAAAACTGAGGAGACTTCACCTTACAGCTGTAATTACCGTTCCACAAGAAAGTCACTTTGAAAACCACGACAACCTGTCTTTCTTTTTTGCCTCAGCATGTATGATCTCTAGAGCCCGCGAGATACAATCGCTTTTTGCAGTCCTGTCATGAGACGTCATTAATTGCCACATCTCTAGGTACGTAGAGATGGCTTTCGAAACCATTCGTACAATCCAATGTCCTGCACAAAATCCATTTTAGCTTTGTAACAGCGCCTTACTTCTTGTTGGATGTGGGTCCATGACTAGCCGAGCTTCACCAGGAGAGAGTTGTATGACCTAATTCTATTGTAGCCTTCTAGCCATGTCATATTATATATATGATCAAACCTCGAACTCAATTCCAAAAAAGCCAGTGCTTCACGTCGACAAATCCTCAATCTTCACTTGCAGGTTCAGCAGAAACTTCGACATGCTCCATCGCAAGACGCAACAGCATCACTTCCACATTGTTTATCTTCAATACCTCCGTGTATTGGCTACTGATTCCAACAGTCGCGCATCGTACAAAATTATAGATCCTATAAGGTCTTTTCACGACTTTACAAAGCCAGGAACGTTGATGTCAGCAAACAAACTCCATCTTTTTCAGAAATAAGATGGACCTCCCCGAGGAAAATTGAACCCGCTTATTTCCATCCTGCGTGTCATGGGTGCTTTGACTATGCATATACGTTGACAGTATCAAGCAGCTACCTTTCATTGTTTTCACGAGATGCAATCATAAAGTAACTGGTATGTCTCATTATAATTGAAAATAATACTAACCAAGAAAGTCAGCCGACGCTAGCACCAAAGCACTGAAGCCTCAAGGCACTAAACGGCCGGCTGCCAACTTTATAAATTAAAAGCATTTACGGTGAACAATTGATGGCCCAGACTCATCGTACTCGGCCTTTGAGATCCACATTTGTTGAAATGTAGCTAGTGAAGCCAGAATCGAGCCTCCAATCCATACCGAATACTTGCGCTCGGGCGGTGTAATAATCTTTACTTTCATCGCTGTTGGAGCTAATTTGGACATTTCTTGAGTCATACGGTCACCAATACCAGGAAACATAGTGGATCCGCCAGACATCACCACATTGTTGTACAAGTCTCGACGAATGTCAACGTCGCACTTCATAATTGTTTGAAAAGCGCACTCGTGAACACCCAAACACTCGCGTCCAATCATTGATGGGTTAAACAGCACCTCTGGTGTACGGAAGCGCTCGTTTCCAATCACAATAACGTTGCCATCAGGGAGTTCGTACGTCTTATCCAGCGCTGACGATCGAGCCGCTTTTTGCATCTCGTCATCAAAATTGATAGCTACATACGTCAATTTTTCTTTGATATCTCGCACAATTTCTCGTTCAGCCGTGGTCGTGAATGAATATCCCCGTTCAGTCAATATTTTCATCATAAAATCGGTCAAATCTCGCCCAGCTAGATCCAATCGAACAATAGCATGAGGAAGCGCATATCCCTCGTAAATTGGCACTGTATGCGAAACTCCATCTCCCGAATCAAGGACACAACCTGTGGTACGCCCAGAAGCATAAAGCGACAACACTGCTTGAATATTGACGTACATTGCTGGAACGTTAAATGTTTCGAATATGATTTGCGTCATGCGTTCTCGATTTGCTTTGGGATTCAATGGCGCTTCCGTAAGGAGGGTTGGATGTTCTTCTGGAGCGACACGAAGTTCATTATAAAACGTATGACTCCATATTTTTTCCATATCGTCCCAATTTGTTACAATCCCATGCTCAATTGGGTATCGTAGCGTCAAGACGCCACGTTTCGCTTGCGCTTCATCGCCAATATACGCTTCTTTTTGATTCATTCCAACCATTATTCCTAAATGCTTGGGTATTCCTACAATTGAAGGAAATACGGCGCGTGGAGAATCATCTCCCGCAAATCCTGCTTTGCACATACCCGACCCATTATCAATAATTACAGCTTGCACTTCTTCCTCCATGTACTACTTTAATTATTAAATGAAGCAAGTTATCACGACAGCATAACCTAACTGTCGGATCTAATTGCCTTTGTGTACATACACGACATTAGCGAACACATAATTTTGTCATGCTTGGAAACAGATCGATGGGTTTTCGGAGACTCACTGCAGCGCAGAAGGCGCTACTGACACTCCACAAGATCCAAGCACGAAGTTTATTTCTTGTCGTGAATGGGTTACTCATACTACTCGTCATTTATACATCCAACCAATTTCCTCGCAAGTTTGTGCGTGTGCAGGGCGAGTACGTAATAGTTGATAGTTACAATTCCTAAATAATTTCTAACAGTATCTATCTCGTATCTTATCTAGCTGTGACAGCAATTGGTTGCATGTTGATGCTATCGAAGGATCGGAAGCTATCTGTTGCAATAATGAAATAGGAGGTTATGAGGATGCGCCATGCTACACGGGCATGGATCTCATGCCAATAGTCAGCTCTCTTCAAGTAAGTCTTACGTCGCAAATCAACAAATGTAGTTGTAGAATACTTACAAGTCATGTTTTGAAAAGGGAGCGTGGACGATCCCCTTGACGGCTCTAGTTTTAAATTACGGCTCTATGATGCTTGGACCGAACGTGAGTATGCCTCGTGTCCGTATTTACGTACGCCGAGGCCTGCTTTATGTAGCAGTGATGGCTTTCCGCACAGTGGTACTCTATATTGGACTTGGATTGATTGAAGAGCGGATGCTTCATCTTACCGGACGCTCGAGCTCCTGCTGGTATGCTGACTTGCGTCATGGCAAGCGCTGCCCAGCGAACTTTGATCACTCGGACCATATTGTGCTGCTGGTAAGTCACTACATGGCAATTCCATTGTTTGAATGGTTTGCTGTAAATGTCGAAAGTGCTGGACCAAGCTTAAAGCGAACACTACTGCGCGCGTGGCTGATTATTCTAGGCGGAATGGCAACGTATTTGCTCGTTTTTACAGCGTCGTACTTTCACACGACAGCCGAGAATCTTTTGGGTCTGATCATTGCACAGGGTGGTGTCATGGTACCACTAGCGCTACTATCTCAGGACTATTTTTCTACGTACAAGTGGTTGCGTCTCAGCAACTTTGTACTGCCACCCGAGGACTATAAGAAAGACTACTGATGAATACAGGATTTTGTTCATAGATACTTGAAAACAATTAAGTTCGATAAACATGGAATTGCATTACGGTTTAAATTGCGTCGAAATTAATCAAGCTCGTGACGACTTACATACATACAATTACCCCAGATACAACGCAAACGACAATGGCTAGCCATAGACGCTTCCTTTGAAGTTGCGAGATAGCACTGCTTTTGGATGAATTCGAGTCCTTGTAGCGATTCAATTTCTTCCTCTTCTTGCCTCCATTTTTTTGAATCTCTAAATCATCTTTACTCGCAACACACTTGTACGTTTCATCCTTTTCATCCAGTGCACAGATCGAATCGTTTGCTAGTACATGACCCTTCATTGAACATGGCTGTGCCCCAGTAATAGGACAAGCACCATTTTCGGCCAAATCAATGTTGCCACACTTGCTACTTAGCGAGGCTTTTGGAGCTAGGCAGTAATCCGACGCCCCCATTAATGAGACTCGGCGAACCATACGACAATCACATTCATATTCCATACTTGAGCTACTTGAGCCACTCCAACTGTCACTCTCATTCATTTCACTTGCAGAGTTTTCGGTCTCACCATCTTCACTATTACTTCCACTACTGCTAGTGTCGTCCAAGATATGAGTCTTTTTTGAGCTTTGTAGCGATCCGGAGGAATCTATATTCAGGTTAGCATTCGAATTCGATACGTCGGACCTTGTACCCATCACTGACATTGTCTGAGGAATTTCAAAACGCCCTGGTCCAGCAGCAAATTGACTTGTAACTTCTACAAACAATAGTGCAGCAAGCAACAGTAAACTACAACACGACATGGTCTTTCAGCTTTCGATCAGCTTTCGTAATGGCAATTTCACAATCAAAAGTCTCAGTGTCACGACGCATAACTTGACTCGATTGACCCGAGATGGCGACGTAAATTTCCCATCAAAATTCAAGTCACACTTGTTGTGATTGAAATGCGATGGGGGTTACAGTTTTAATACAATGTCGCGCGATGGTTACTTGTACGCTTGTGCACAATGCCGGTCCAAGTGGTTACGCTTTTACTCATGTTACAAAGTCGTGCTTTTTCAAAGTCTATACATTTTTTAAGCTATTGAAAAAACTCTCCAGCTGTTCTCTTTTTCCTTCGTTTCCCGACCCCCCGAGAAGCCATGGCAAATCCTCTCTTGCGTCTAGCAATTCAGAGACTCAGTCGACATATTTAAACCTTAAAATGGTAACGTTACATGCTGTTTTTAATGGCTACACCTAAGTCTTCATGACCTCATTATCTCTCTTTTAATCTAGCACGACGAGCGCGGCAAGATGGAGGCACTGCTGCATCAGATCGTCCTCGAAGAGCAACAGAAAATGATTCAGTTGGGTTTCGTTGAAACGTATATTCCTTCAGTCGACAGTGCTGCACGTTGTAGCTTTTTTATGAGCGCAAATTGGCACATTTGTCGTCGTCTTTTGCTTGTGATTGTCAGTGGTAATGGCATTCAACCGGGTATTTGGAGCCGATCGCTTGTGCTTGAAGCGAGTGCGAATCCAAATCAGTACCGCTCTGGTTCAATGCTACCATATCTTCACACTGCTTTGTCAAAAGGATATGGGATTGTTGTGATGAATCCAAGCACGAATATGGTTAGTGTTGGTGCAGATAAGGTCCCTATACCGTATTCAAGTACACCAGAGATGCACGTTCGATATGTATGGGAGACATACGGTGTTCGTGCTTCGTGCTCACAGGTCTACATCGCAGCGTACGGACGTGGTGGATCATTGACCAAGCACTTGGTCTGTACCCAACCGCTTTTACGTAATAAGTTAGCGGCAATTGCATTTATTGAGTCAAGCCACCGTATTGAATCTGATGATACACAAGAAGTACGTGGATTACTTGGTACTCGAGCAATTAATTGGCAACGATCAAAGGAAAGTCCAGGGACCCAATTGCAAGATTGTACTCAACTTGGATGTCTTAGTCTTTCAGCAGGTGAACCTACATCACCTGCAGAGCAAAGATCATCTAATACAGCCTGGACAATTGCTGCTAGTATGAATACAGTGTTTGCGTTTTTTGATAGTGCACGAGGTTCTATGCCGGACGAAGCAGGCGAGGATGAATTAATGGATGAAATGAGTCGTCTATCTCAGTATGCTTATGCTGGTGCAGCGGCAATGTCTGTACCTCAACAACAAGAACACTTGGAGGATGCTAAATTTCAAGTGGACGAAGAAAACGATGGCAATCATTTGGGAAGTCGCTCAAATAGCGCACGAAGCTCAAGACGTAGCATGGTCATTTCGACATCCATGAGCGTGAATGACTTTGATTTACTATCTGTGGTCGGTAAAGGCGCTTATGGAAAAGTATTTCTAGCCAAGAAGAAACACGAAAAAAACGCGGGTCGTGTCTATGCTATGAAAGTTTTACGAAAACAAGACGTGTTTAAGAAAAAACAAGTGGAACATACCAAGTCAGAGCAACGTATTCTCAAGCATGTGGAGCATCCATTTGTCGTGAGACTACGGTACGCGTTTCAGAATCACCAGAAACTCTACCTTGTGATGGATTATTACTCGGGTGGGTCGTTGTTTGTGCACTTGCGCAAGGAAAAGCGCTTTAGTGAGCAACGTGCGTGCTTTTACGCTGCTGAATTAGTCTTGTCGTTGGCGCATTTACATAGTCTGCACATTATGTATCGTGATTTGAAACTTGAGAATATTCTCATGGATAGTGAAGGACACGTTGCGATTACGGACTTTGGCTTATCGAAAGAAGATGACGAAGGCTCGACGTTTGTTGGAACGCCCGAGTATTTAGCTCCAGAATTACTGTGTAGCCAACGTACAGCTTCATCATATGGCAATTCTGTGGATTGGTGGAGTTATGGAGTATTGGTGTATGAGATGATTCAAGGACATACGCCCTTTTGGGACAAAAATCGCCGACAGATGTTTCAAAATATCCTTAGTAAAGAACCAACATATTCTGCCGATCTCTTTTCACCTACTGCCACCGATTTTCTTAAACGATTGTTGGTTAAAAATCCACGACAGCGTCTGGGTTGTGGCACTGATGGTGCCAAGGAGATTATGGGACACCCATGGTTTGACGGTATTGATTGGGACGCTCTTTTAAATCGTCGGATTGAGCCACCGTTTCGACCAGTGACAAAAGATCTACACAGTAGTCGAACACGCACGAGCAGCGCCACATTGAATGCGAATTTACACTATGTGCCAAACATGTTTAAACAACAAGAAGTCGCTGACTCGCCAGTTATTAGTGGATTGGGGTCGTCAACTGGATCTGGCATAATGGCGATGCACTTTGACGACTTTAGCTACATGGGTAGCGACATAATTGGTTCACGTCGTACGTCAGTCTTTCGCGACAGTGATATCAAAATGGAATTGGGCGACTAGATGCCGCATTTGCTTGTGACTGCTTCTGTGGCAGTACGTACTATCAGATAAGCCAGAAGCGGAGATTCTACGTGTTGATATGCACAATATACTTCTTGTTAGAGCAAAGTGGGTTGTCAGTAGTAAAATTTAGTGGCTACTCTTAATCATTTACCAAAAAGTGCGATGACTGTTCTTATATTCTGCTTTACGAAAGCGATTCGCGTTTACTGCACGACTTCTAGTCCCATGGACTTAGCTGATCCAATAAGCGTTTTGCAGATAGATTGAAGATCAATATAGTCTACCATTTCATCCTCTTGCTTGACTTTAGCAATCTCGTAAATCTGACGAAGACTTACAGTACCAACTACTTTCTGACCTGGCGTGGATGATCCTGAAGTGATACCCGCTGCTTTCTTTAAAAACCATGAAGCTGGTGGCGTCTTAGTAGTAAACGAGAACGTACGGTCTGTAAAGGCAGTGAGCACGACGGGAACAGGAATATTTTCAGTCAATTTGGATGTGCGGTCATTAAATGCCTTGCAAAACTCCATCATGTTAACACCAAGTGGACCAAGTGCCTGACCAATGGCCGGTGATGGACTAGCCTTGCCCGCCAGTACACGAAGACGAACGATTCCTTTAACCGGGGCAGACATATCACGAGATGTATCACCGATGATTCGACTGGCTATCGCAAAGTAAAGAATTGATACAGTCTATCTCAACTCTCGATGTCATTTTAGTGTAACAAAACGTATTTTTATATTAATTATTTTGAATATTTCATCACACATGGCTCCACATTTATTTTTAACGCATGAAAATAGTATGTTGCCTAATTGATATGCAGCCTGGTGCTTTGTAAGCATCCGTCTAGGGATTATGTTGTGCAGATACATGCTTCCTGAGGAATGTATAAGCGCCTAAACGCAAAAATACAACACAAAAAATGCATGAGTTGGTCTGTACACTCCATTTTAGTCTGATACTAATTAAAATTTTCGGATGCTTCGCGTAAACCTTAACAATTAACATGCCGCTTTTTCGAAATATTTTTAACCATGAGTGTAATCTTTTCATACGCCGTGTCAAAAGCAGTCGACCTCGGGACCAAAGCTAAACAAATGTGGCAACAAACAAACAAAAAGCTTAAAAATATATGCTATCTCAGCATCTAAATTACGAAGGCGATAAGTTCTTAATCTTGGTAATAAACAATTCCGCTGTCGACTTTTTTTATATCTATTATATCCTTATGATTACTTAGCTGAGATTATTTTCTTGCTCTACTCGCGTCTTATTGTCAAGTGTGTTTCGACTACTTTAAATGCTTAAACTTTTGACAAAACGATCATTTCGCAAATTTATAGTCGAATATCGTTACATAGAGCCACTCACAGCTTATGTGAGTTGCTCTCTTTACGATGTTCATGGTGTGTGCAATTATCACCACCCAACACAGGCGTCGAAATGAACGTAAATGTATCAAACATTTCAAGATTAATACTAAACCGTTCTGCTGCACTCAAGTGAGCATCGTTCGTACATGGTACATTCGAATCCGAATCGACAATTTTTGAATCCGAACACGAACTGGAGAGGGAGTGACGCCAGTCTATCAGAATGGGCTCTAAATTTTCCAAGATTGAGGGTCGTAAACTCTGGTTCTCATGCAAATTTAATCGGAGATTTTGGTGTCTGTCATGTCCTGCTCCTATCGCATCATGCTCACTAATTTCATCACTAGATAGCGAAGATTCACATGAATTTTCTTGGGTCTCACTTTCACATTGCTTCATATTCGAAAATTTCACGTGCTTTCTTAGCGAATCCTCTTTTTCGGAACTCTTGAGTGCATTATCAATACGTTTACTTAAGACACAATGACGCGTATTTGTGGGACCACTTGATGAGGCAGAGAGTTGGGAAGAGGATTCTCGATTCGAATTTGCACAATTTTCTTGAGGATCTTGGACAAACAAAGCATCAATGTCGCGTCCATGCTTTTCTGGACCCATCAAAAGAATGAGCGGTAAAAGCACGAGAACCAGTGCACCATAGACTGCAAGTGTCCAGCGCTTTTGTTGCCACGTCCAATGTGTATCATCTAAATACCGTCGAAAAACGAGATACACGCCTAAGAATGTACCAAAATGGCACCATGCAGCAGCCGTCGAGATGCCAAGTGCTCGGGTCACGAGCGGAAATTGCTCGCTAGTCAAAACAATCAACGCACCAATTGAGCCACCAATGGACACAATCATAACACCAAATGCCAAAATAAATTCAGTCCATTTGCTATCTTCATGTAGAATCCAAGCAGATATTACCATGATTATACCACTACAAAATAAGAAGAGTCCTAACGTCACACGACGACCGAGCCGTTCGATTATTGCAGTATTCAAAAGAATACCCGGAAATAATAAAAAAGCCCACAAAAGTTGGTCAAAAAGAGTTAGGTCTGGGTCACTGTTTTTGACTTGTTGAAAAGTTTTTGCCATTGCTAATGTTGTCAAGATTGCACCACTGCAACATGTGCTTTCAGCAAACCAAAAGAACCAAATCATAGTCGTCCGTCGAGCCATAGAATGAGAGAAAAGCACTACTAGTCGATGACTGAGTGCGCTTCGAAATGATGTGTTTGTGACAAACGCAAAGTTGTATAATGGAATCCCACGATTGTCTAATCGGTGCGTACACTCGTAACTCTGACTCTGATTTTGTAACCGAGAAGTCGAGCTACGTTGACTTTGAGTGCAAGCTTTAGTCACTTCCATCCCTGGTACAGGCTTTGAGCTCGAGCTTCGAATGCCGTCGTCATCCCCGTCATGCCTTTGCATGTCCATTTCTATGTTTGAATTCGAGTCAAAACTTTCTACATACCATTCATAATTACTTTGAGGCTGTTGTGACGGTGGTTCATAGAGACTTGTAGGTACAGTCACGCGCACTGAACGTGTAATGCCATGTACCATTTCAATCTTATTTAAAACAGAAAACGCTTCGTCAGATCGACCGACACTTGCTAAAAATTTTGGTGATTCATCCACAGTCATATAAAATATGATTAGTATGACTAGTGCAATGGCACTCAAAACAAAGTGCATTAATCTCCATCCAAGTTCCTTCTCTGTATTCATTAATTGACCATATCCAACGCCAAGAAAGATACCTAATCCAGCAAAAGAAACAGAAAGGATAATAACTATCCCACGTGTCCTTGTTGGTGAGAATTCAAGCGCTAGAATGGCCAAAAGAGGCATTTGACCTCCAATTCCCACACCTGCTAACAATCGGAGAGTCACGAGAGATGCGTAATTCCATGCTCCTGCTGTCAGCGCATTAATAATAATCCAAAAACATTGTAAACTTAAGAGAACTGGTCTGCGTCCAAAGTAGTCGGCACTAATTCCAGATACTAAACAGCCTAGCCCTCCACCAAAAAACGATACTCCAAATAGTAATATTGCTTCATTCGGACTGGTTATGGCAATGTCTTCCTGAGCTGCTGGACGTGCATAGAGAAATGTGATAGATTCAACCATGGCAAGTAACCATCCTGTACCCAAAAGTACCACCAGACGAAAGTAAAATGTTGTAAGCCCTGCGTACCACAAAAGCGAGCCACAGACTGTTACTCGTCGTCGACTAGTCTGTACGACTGGTGGCTGAAATGGAGACACAACGGGTAATGAGCTTAAGAGATACTGGGAATGACCGTCGTAAGTAAGCGCGTCGAGCCGCTGTCGCACATGCACAAAGACATGAGTAGCTTCCGCCATGGTGGCCTTGGGAGGTGTGACATTCGAGTTATCTTTTTTTTGGGTACTGTCCGGTTTTTGTTGAACTGCAAATGGTAGCGAAATGATGGGCGGCGCAGTTTTATGAACTATAAGTACAAATGAGCGATGTTGTCAATATGTGAATTGTGATAACCAAGAAGGTTGGATCTAGAATAGATGTGTTTTGTATACAAAATAAATAAAGTAGCAATAGTTAAGAGAATCATATTGAGTACAGAAAACAAAATAAGATTAATTGAGCTGCGTATTTATCTCAGCACGATTTTTTTTCCTGACTAAGATTATACATAACAAACTGCTATTTTTCTAGCTTATTAATCTTGTGAATTCAGCGTATCCGTTGGTTTGGTTGTTGTTTTATGTGAACCCACGAATTTAGGCTGTAGTTTGTGAGTGAGATTTATTAAGCGAGTTACTGTTAGTTTTAATTATGGTGTGCTGAATTGTTATGCAGTTTGTCTAGCTGACTAACTGATGCAGGTGCACAAGTCGGGTTTCCGGTGGTATAGGAAAACTTGCTCTTGAGAGACATCAAACCAATGACCGCTGGATCATCGGGTCGGCTACACCAGAATGCATTCTTATATATTTAGATTAGCCTAGTGGTTAACTGATAATTCATGATTGTGGGCTTAAATCCCTCAAAAAGTAAAATTAAATTACACCATGTATGGTGCTCACATCCCTCAAAGTTTCATTACGCCGTGTTTGGGGTTCAAATCCCTCGAAGGATAGCGTTTAATTACACCGTGTTTGGTTTCCTACGTACGTACCTTCCCGCGCCCTTTGTAATGGCATAAGGACCAGATCGTATATTATCACGGCAGAGTAATTTGATATAGATCTGGCAACGGTAGAAAGAGAAAAACAACGTAATATTATTTCACCTCGCGTTTTAGGTTAACAACCGCAGCCAAGCCTCCTTCACTACTACAACGTTCGTACCCAGATGGCAGTTAAGTGCACTGGAGTCTTCCAAAGAAGTGATGAAAACTATCACTGGGAGTTCAATGTGAGGATGACTACAGCGAGAAATGGTCTTCTGGAGCATGTCACGACCGTCAAGGATGAGAATGGTATCATATAGACGCGACTTGTAAGCGACCCAAGGCATTTTGTATCATTACGCAACGCTTTGAGCTTAGACATCAGAGCAGGATACGGTCGGCCACGATCTGTAATAAACGCTACGCAACTTTTACAATCGCTTGACACTGCACAATACTTCAAGATGGAAAAGGAACTACCATGTCGAAACATTAAGCCTCTTTTGACGAACTAATTGTTGGACTTTAGACAATGGGAGAGCCAGTTGACCAGTCGCACCGGTCTGACTTAGATATAATTTGATTTCATCGATTATGGAAAAATGCGAAGATATCGCGTGTTTTAAGTCAAAGAATAGATTCTCAGGGAATCAGAGAATCTGCACAGAAAGGAACTTACGGAGAAACCGTTTCGCAACAATGAAAAATTTGAATATCAAATATGAAAAAGGCAACGATTGATAAAGTGGCACTCCAACGGCGGATTCGATGGCAAGTATTATAATTGTGACCAATTTGGTATGACGCAGAATTGCCCAGCCGAAAAAGATGTCTGCAATGACGACGCAATATCCACAGTGGACAAAGGAAGATTCGCATGGTGGCTTATCAACAGTGGCCTTATATTTCACATGACCTTGCACGGGGTGAATTTGTCAGAATACAAAAACCTTGAGACAAGCATCGAAGTAGCAAGCGCGGATGTTCGACAAAAATGGAACCGACACAATGAAATTGACGGTTTTGGGCGGGAAGAACATTTACATGATTGACGTTTTAAATAGTTTAGGACTGTACAGAAAATTTATGTCTGTTGATAAGCTTGCAGAAGGCTGCATGATGATGGAATTGTCCGAATCTCAGTGGATCGATAACCAGTTCGGGATGAACCTATGCTAATTGTCAAAGAATCAGTCAGAGACGTCGAAATAAACGATGATCGTTCACACAGTGTCACCTTACAGCAACTGATGCCCGCCGATCATTTTGATGTAAACAGGTTGGAGCTTGCAGAGTATTGACCATCTATTTATACGCGTCAAGAAGAACGATTGGTGTTTCTGTTTTTGAAGTGGAGCATACGAAACGAAGACAAGAGCCGATGGTTATGCTAAAGAACGGCTCAAATGATGGTTAGAATACAGAAGGAAGTGGTGGGCCACGTCAGCCGAAACATGCTAAGACTGGCGAGGACAAAGTCTTTTCCGATGCTGTTCGTGTGTACATGTCGCAGAGTGGTTATGATGCGGGCTTGCTGACTACATATGCTCAAGTAGTAGCAAGCGACGATGCGGTGATGTGGCGCGAAGTTATGGAGATGATCTTCGCCCGCATGAGCGAGCCGAACATGGGTATAATAATCAAGAGATATGAATAACCTACGATAGGATCGCGATGGGTCTTTGTCATGAAGCGTGATCAAATTGGCACTGCTGCACGGCTTGTCGCGGCGGGTTATTAACCGAAGAATGTATCCAGTTTTGTCGACACATTAGCCTGTTGTCAGCACAAATTCAATTCGAATGATACTTGCGGTTTGCGAAGAATGCGACTGTCAAATGGAATAACCGGAAAATGATAGTGTAATTTAACAGTGTGCTGACAGGCAACGTTTATATGGACGGTATGCTGGGTGTCGAAAGAGCCCAAGGATGCATGTGTCATTTGAAAAGGCTATCTACGGATAGAAGCTGCCTAGAACAAGACAACACACCGTGTCTTTTGAGAAAGATGGCTCCAATGCCTGCGGGGCGACCAATACGAGCATGTCAAGCGACATTTGGAAGATTTTATCTACGTTGAATTATAAGTGGGTGGTGTTATTGTCGTAGTGAAATACAAACAGGGATATTTGTGAAGTCGAGGAATTGCTTAGATTATCACTCAATATGTAGGATCCGGGTGAGGTGAAATTTGTTTTGGCATGAAGAGTGATCATGTAACGGGATAATACATAGCCTGGTATAAAAGGGTGGGTCACACAAGATAGTGTGACCATGGCTACATCTTGGGAAGAAGCCACTACGTGGCGGAACTTCCAGTAGTTGTGCACTCAAATTAGGTTTTGCTATTCCTATAGATTAAGAAATAGGTTGCTCTGCCGTAGATAAAACAAGAAATACAATTTTTTTATTGAACGGAAGAGTGTTTTTGCCTTGGGTTAAGAATGTGGGTACTCTTGCGCTAAACACATACTGGTTCTAGTACAGAACGTAAGGTCAAACGAGAAAAATACAATTCACATATTGAACGGAAGAGTGAATTTGCCTTGGTTAAGGATGTGGGTACTCTTGGAGTTAACGGTTTGCGATCCGCTACACTCATATTACTTAAAGGATAGAACGTAAGGTCGGAGAGTTTAGCTTAGCTTTCGTTAAGCAAAGAGCTACGACAGCCCCACTGCATTTGGTAACACTCATAGTCAATTTACACCTGAGTCGTTCCAACTGATTCCATGTGAGGATAGAGCATTTCTCCTGTTTATCCCAGGGCATACAGGACGGCCTTAAAAAGCTGATGTCCCTGCTTGGCCCTGGAAGCGTGCAACACCTTACTTCGCAAGGACCTATATCAATAAGCGTGCACCTATAGGCGTTTTCGAGCTGTGAATTTGCTCTGTTGGAGCACCCAGAGCAGAAGATTTCGGCGTTGACTGCGTCAATGACATCACCGTGGACGACAGATGACGCTTCCGACCCATTCCGCTCATGGTGAGCATTAAGACCTTTGAGGGTATGAGTGGAGAGAATCTCC